CTTTTAAGTAGTCTCCAACTCTCCCTTGCTTTTCCAACATCTCCTTGGTGTCAGAAGAAAATTCACATTCACTCCTGAAGCCTGTTTTTCTGATGCACTCTTCACCTGTGCAGAACCTGGGATCAGAACCTTACAAGAGTTTGTCCTACCCTTGTCATTACCTCTATCATCCTCAAGACAGGACAGCAGAGGCAGTTGGCCAACTCATGTGCCCTTTTGGGGCCATGTTCCTGTCACAGCTCTCACAGGCTGTGGGGTGCTGTGGCATCTGGCACGCACAAGTCACCCAGAGATTTGTGTTAATAATGCTCTGAAAATCTCAAGCACCCTTTTTTATTATTATTACTATTATTTTATTTAATTTTTAAAATGTATGACTTAGCCACAGCCTGTGCTTGTTCAGTTCAGAATGTGAATATGTTTGTTTTTCCGTGGCTATCAGAATAGAGAGGTTATTCTATCTGGACACATTCATGGTACTCAGTTGTTTCCTGATAACTGCTCCATTAACATCTGTCAGCATGGCACCCTCTCTGCTCATAGCCTCCTCACAGACCAGGCAGCTTTCCTGGCAGAAGGGACATGCTTATAAGAAAATAAAAGGCAAAATGTCAGCATGTTCCCAAATGAGATGCCCTGGGAGATTCATGATGCAGTGGTAGCTGTGAAGAAATGCAGATGTGACAGGTGGCTGACAGTTTGGTACTTTGTCTATAATCCTTCTGAACTAGTGGCAGAGACTTTCTTAAATACAGTGATTACCATGAGAAACCTCTCCCTGAAAGTGTTGTTTACATCAACAATCATAAGATGATAAGTGACAGGCCTGGGTCCTTTCCATTAGTTTCAGGGGACAAATATCATAGGTCAAGATTTTGTAATAATAATAATAATAATAATAATAATAATATCAACAACAGCAGCAATGGATTAATATAATAAAAAACCAGACCAGCGAGTCTGAATAAAATAGAAGAGAATCTGAATAAAACAGACTCCAAAGCCTGGGGCAAACTGCATTTGCTAAACCATTTGGTAAAATGGGCTGAGGCAGACATTTGAGCTAAAGTAAATCAGGCAGAAGTTGCCTTTGAGTGACTGAAGGATGGCTCAAAAGCAGCCATTTGGACTGCCCAGAATAGACATATTGCTCCCTGGGCATCCTTCTGCAGAGGCACTGCTGTGGCTCTGTGCTTCTCTCCAGAAATAAGCAGAGCATTACTGGTAGCAAGGTGGTAGCCACCTTCTAGACATGCTGCTGCTATTTTTCTTGGACCACAGAAATTATATATCCAAGGTAGAGTAAATATAAAAACAAATAAAACTGCTCTCAAAAATGTTTTTGTCTGAATAATTAATTCCTCAGCAAATTTTCTCGTAATAAAACATGTCCTAATGAGCTACCAGGAGGAGAGGAAATTCATCACTTACCTCACAAATATCAACTTGAGAGCACTGCTCATGTCAGATGGCATAATTAATGACTTGAGAGGGAGCATGGAACAGCACAGCCAAAACCACCATCCCCATCAGTCATTCCACGTCAGCCCAACTCATCCATGTTACTTGATCTACAGAGGATTAGCCAGGCAGCTAGAAGGAGATATGGGGCTGAAGGGAATACAGGCAAACATAGTGTATCTAATCTTGATTTATCCTGGTTGGCTTCCTGCTTATCACTGAGGTGCCATGGCAGTTGGTCGTGCATCGTGTTTTATTTTTGTGGCTTTTCTTTTTTTTTCCCAGAGAAATAAAATTTACAGACTTTGAACTTCACCCTCCCTGATGCTGAGCAAGCCAATCTTCAGCCCCACGTCAGAACATGGTCCTCTTGGGGATCAATTCCTGTGCAGCAGGCCTGGTGGTGCCCTGGAGTGGGTGAGACCTCTCTGTGCTGTGGTGGGAGGGGAGGTTGTGGTCAAGGTGATGCTCATGGGGGGCTGCAGCAGGAGCACATCTGAACTCTTCTTCCTGTGGTGGCACCACCAGAGCAGGGGGAAGGTGCAGCCTCCTCTCATCACACGTGCATCTCTTCCCTCAGTGCCCCGCAGCTGCAAGAACTGCCCCGCTGCTTCCTGCACGTGCCTGCTCTGGGGGCAAGCCTCTCTAAGGACATTCACGGGAGCCAAGGCATGGGGGGTGCTTTGGAAGGACAGCTCTCCCCACTCGGATGGGAAAGCTGAGACACCAGGCTGGTGCTGCCAGCTTTGCAATGAGAACCTGAAATGGCCAAGGGGGGTCAGACCAAAGGGTGATCTCCCTGGGGATCCCATCTCCAAGCCTGCCAGGAGCAGGTGCTTGCTTTAGGGAAGAATAGAGGATTCTGGAGATGTAGAGGGATCATTTTGTGACTCCACCTTCTCAGCAACCTGCTGTGAGGGAATCCTGAGCTGAAGGTAACTTCCCCAGCTCTGCATTTCTCAGGTCCTATGGAACTCTTTTTACCATTAATTTATCTAATATCTTTTGGCACCAGCATTTATTTTTGCCCTCTGCAGAGTCCTGTGATGTGTGCCACAGAACAATTATGTGAAGTGAGAAAAATGTGCATCTTTTTCTCTGTTTCAGAGTTTCTGCCTGGCCTGTATATCTCATGTCCTCCATTCCCTGTGATAAGAATGATTGAATCATTTGCTTTGCCTTTCTCCCTCAGTTTCACCACGCTGAGAAAAGTAAGCCTATCAAATTTACTCCACTGAAATAACTCCATGTTTCTGAAACCAATTCCAGCCTAGCAGGACTTTTTTTTAGGATTTACATGAGAGAAGAGTATGAGAAATCCAGGCAGCTCCAAAGTGACAGCTGACAGGTTTTATCTCCATCCCTTTGCTCACTCCAGTGTGTGCTCACTGCTTGAGACCAAGCTCCAGTAGCTGTCAGCCTGCTAAGTGCAGCTGTTTTACATGTCTGCTCACATTTGTAAATGCCTGGATGTGTTTTCTGAAGCTCTCCAATAAATGCTCGCTTGAGTTAGTTCATCAGCAAAGACAATTTTATCTGCTCTGTAAGTGACCCCACAGTGCCCTGTGCAAACAACCTCGTGCAGCAGAGCCCTGTGGTTGCTGCTGGCAAGATCTGAGCACTGGGCTTGCCTCAGGCAAAGCGCCCTTGGCACCTGCTGGCCCCTTCTGTGGGCTCCAGTGTAAGCAATAACTGGGCTTTTATGTTGGTGCTGACCTCCCAGGTTAAGTTCAGAAAACATTATCTGGCAAATCTGATGTGTCACGTTTCAAAGAAAAGAGTTTTCCACCTCAATCCAGGTCTGATTTCTTTACAGGTAAAGGACAAAACCCTTTGGGAGCCAAGCACTTCTTGGAAGCAAGGTTAAGAGCAATAAACTTTCCTCCTTACCAATAGACTGAAATATCAGAAAAATCTTTTCTTTTAGGAGCACACATCTATCCCCACAGGGTCAGGTCAGTGCTCTATAACTCATCTTACAAAACTGAAATACAATTTTTGATGATCAGTGCTGGGTAAGGATCAGAAAACTGGCCTGACACATTTCATTTGTACTGAAAAAAGTTTTTATTGAAGAAATACTTCCCCTGCACAGATAGAGATTTCAAGATAATATGCATTACAAATGATTTATAATGAAACTGTGAATTAATGTCTTTTCTGAGAATCCCCCCAGTGCCCTCCTTAGGACTGTATCTGTAACCTCTTATCAGCACACAGAAATAATTGTTTGGTTGCCCAATGGAAACACCAGCCTGAATTCCCATGTGCACTATGTTTGGGGTCTCTGTCCCTCATCTCCTTCTCTAAACACTTCGTGAGATGTGGCACAGTGATAAAATGAGTGCAAACAGCCTTGGGATTAAGAGGTGATTTGAGACCTGCAGCGGATCTCAGACTGGATGTGGTTAGGAAATTAGATTAGGAAATTACTTTACCTGGAACTGGACATTAATTGTGGTGTTTTGTGCTGGAGAGAGGATTCATGCTGAGATGGAAAAATGAAATTGGGATTGTGGGGAAACTATAACTTGAGGTCAGTTTAATTTGGATTTTTGTGCCAGAGTGATCTGAGCACAACTCACATTCCCCTCTCTGGTGCCTTTTGCTTTCTGGCATCCTGGCCTGGCAGTTTTGGGCCCTACAGCAGAGGGGGTGCTCTGGTGTCTGCCCAAGCATGGTGTGGGGCAGGGAGCTGCTCACCCCTGGGGATAAAATCTGTTCCTGCTGTGTATGTCCCACTGCTGTGCTGCTCTGTTCCCAGCTTGGTGTCCAGCAGGAACTTGCTTAAGGTTATTTTCTTTCAGCCCTGCTCCACCTGCCAGCCAGGGGATAATGGAGCTGATCCCAACCCCAGGCAGCCCTAAACCACACCAAGGCTCAGGAAAAGTTATTCCGCTTCTGGTGAGAGGAATTCCACTTCTTTTCTCCCCTTGCAACACCTCTGTATGGGTGTGACCAGCTGAGCTAGGAACAAAACCACTGGGTCTGTAGGGGCGAGGGTGGCTGTGCACCCCATCTGTTATTGCCACCGTCCGAGGCTGGTGGCCAGGGTTTCAGAAACTTGGGTCCAAATTTCCCGGGATCCAGCAGCTAGGATGAAGTCAGTCAGCTGGTTTTGGGTATTGTGTGTGTGTGTGTGTGATGGCAATCAACAGGGGTGACATAGTGTCCTGTGTCGTTAGGGGGATCCCCCACCGGCGGTCCCCACGGACGCACGGACTGATTTAACCCCCTGCGAGCCAGGGCGTAGTGGCAGCCAGATTTTCCCGAAGAGGGATACCCCACAACAGCTCTTCCTCTCTCCACTCCCCTCTTCTCCTACAAGCCCTGAAGCCATTCAGAGGGGCAGCTCGGGCTGCGGGAGAGGGAGCAGCCGTGTCCGGAGGAGGCATCGGACCGCACTGCATTGCATTGCATTGCATTGCACTGCGCATCCTCCTCCCTCCTTCCCACCGCCTACTGCTGCAGCCTGCCTTCCTCCCTCCATCCCTCCATCCTCCCCGCGTCCCACCTCACACCGCTCCCCTGCATCTCTACCTCCTGCATCCCTCTTCCTGCATCCCTCTTCCTGCATCCCTCCTCCTGCATCCCTCTCTCCTACATCACTCCTCCTGCATCCCTCCCTCCTACATCCCTCTCTCCACTCCTCCCTCCCTCCTTCCCTCCCTCCCCCTGCCTGCGCAGAGCCGCGGACATGGCGCTCAGCAATTTCCTCTTCGCTCAGTGCATCTGCTATTTCCTGGCCTTTCTCTTCAGCTTCATCGTGGTGGTGCCACTCTCCGAGAATGGCAACGACTTCCACGGCCGGTGCCTGCTCTTCACCGAGGGCATGTGGCTCAACGCCAACCTGACGGTGGAGCGGCAGCGCTTCACGGTGCAGGAGTGGGGGCCTGAGGCTGCCTGCCGCTTTAGCATCTTCACCGGGCTCCTCTCCCTGCTGCTGGCCACGGTGCAGGCCTGGAGGACCCTCTTCTTCCTCTGCAAAGGGCACGAGGAGTAAGTATCCCTGCGGACAAGCCCGTCCCTCCCGCAGGCTGGGGCACGTGGGAGCAGTGCGGGGGTGAAGCGCTGGGCTCGGCACCATCCAGGGCTTTGGGGAGAGCTGGTGTATGGCCCGTGTCTGCACACACACCAGGCACGCCCCCAGCAGTGTCCAGGCCCTCTCCAGAAGATGCTCCTTTGTGATGGGGGGTCAGATCCACTGCCATGCACCCACTGCTCTTTGGCAGTCCTGCTGCGGTGTGTGGCCGCTCAGCTGCGGTGGGCATGGAAGGATTTGGGGGCTGTGGGGTGATGCTGGAGGCTGGGGCCCACAGGTGCCTCTTGACCACGGTCCCACTACACATCTGTGCCAAAGGAGGCCCTCCCCAGGTGTGCACTGGGTGTGTGAAAAACCTTGAAACAACATGGTGGTGCGTGGGGGGCCAGGAGGGAGAAGCTGGTGCCTCCCCTCTCTTTTTTGTGCTGCTTTTGCTGTGTACATGGCAGCTATTGCAGACAACAACTATTGCTTGGTTACAGCGTGAGAGCAATGCTGAGCGCTCCTGCAGCAGCTCAGGGTGGCACTGACTGATTCCAGCACTGGCTGGTTCCTGTGCTCACACAAGCCAAGGGGCATCCTGTAGCAGCATGGGGAAGGATTCCACAGCATCCCACTCCAGAAGACGTAGTGAGAGGCTTGGTGGGCCAGGCAGCAGCTCAAGAGCACTGTGATGTTCTGTGCTTGCCCCTCTGGTGGTCTGAGAGGGCAGAGACCTTGGTGCAGGTAACCCAGGTGCTACAGGCCAGGGCTGGACAATGCACTGGTGCCTGTCTAAACTAGGAAAATATTTTTCCCATGGTTTAGGAGCCATGCCAAGGGTTAATCCCTCCTGTCCAGGTCTGTTTGGACTGGAGATTTCTTGGGTAAGGGGCTGTTACATCAGGGCTTGGTAACCCTGGAGGCTGGGTAGCAGTTTTGTCTTTCTGGCTCTTTCCAACCACTCTCAACCTGCCTAATACTCAAACATGCAGCACTCATACATATAGTAAGTGAGGACCAGAAACTTATTCCATATTAAAATGTACCTTACACTAAATACAACCACATACTTCTTAATATCTTTGAATTCAGCTTCCTCAGGTGATCCAATATCTGTAGAGGGTTAATTGAATCTCAGTGCTTTGCAGGTCAGAGCTAGCTAATTTTTAGAAGAAACCAGCAGTAAAAACTCTGTAATGGTGACATTTGGAGTAGATGTTTGGCCTGCTTTCAAAAGTGGCTGTTAACTTCAAAACTGTTGGGCAGGCCACTGAAAAGTGTCCCTTTAGGAGCTCCTTCAGGCTCCTTTGGGTGTTGTATAACACTGTTCATAGCTGCTGCAGGCAAGAAAGGCAGAAGGCTGTGGGGTGGTGGGGAGCAAAGATGGAGCAAGTTGGGATGATGAGATAACCACAGAACACCACAGGAGGATACAACATGGCAAGATGCTTGGGAACAGCATTTTCTTGGGAAGAAGGAAGGTCTGTCCTGTTCCACATCATCCACCATATGAAAAGCAGGCAGGGCTCACACTGTCCTGATTTCAGACAGCCATTTGTTAACAGTTCAAATGGGTGCAAAAACATTTCTGTTTGGATGGAGAGATAAATGTGAGCTCCTCACCATACATATAATTATATATGTTCTGATTAGAGGTGGTTGAGAAAGAGAATGTCCTTACTGAGGATCCTATCGAGGAGGATCACTGCTACTGGGCCAGCTCCAGGGTGAGCCAGCCAAGACAGTCAGGCTTAGTTAGCACCCTTTGCATCTTTCATGTACAATGGCTTTGAATGATTGCTGACAGATTATTTTCCAGCAGTTATGACTGCTGAAAAACATTTAAAGGGTCTCAGCACCCCTTACCTCAGCAGCCTGGGGCTCTTCAGCTCAGCTGAAGGGTGGAGGTATAACTCAGGTACTTCATTGTTCATTGCTAGGATTGCAAAGCAACTTTAGGTGTAAACATTCATTATTAAAGAGCACTCACTCAATCTGCAATCCATAGCTTGAAGTTCTAATCTAAGGAGAAAAAATCAGATTATCTAGAGATCCAAATAAGAAGTTTTTTGTCAGGATGTCCTGGCATTGGTGATGGTTACTCTTGCCAGATGCAAATCAGGTGCAAGGCTGAGCCCTGCTTTGTCAGTGGAAGGTCATGTCCTGGGCCATGGAACCTTTCTCACTGCAGGGTAGGAAATAGAGGGAGAAGGAGAGCTGAAGATCCTGGGCTGTGATGACCCACTGAATAGTCCTGGTAACTGCTCCTTTTCTAGAGCTGTTGCTAATTCTGGTGCCAAGTTTGTTTTATTCTGTGAACAGCTCAAGGCTTTTCTGCCTCCCAGGCCAGCCTACCATGCTAAGGTGCACAGAGGATATGATCTGACTTCAGCAATGCTTGGGATGAAATCCAGGCTGGGTGTGAACATGCAGAAATCTGGTATCATAGCAGCTCTCACTGTGTGGGTGACCCCAGCACACAGCAGAGGTGAGCTGATCTACTTCACCAAGCCCAGCTAAAGCAGAGCAGGATTCAGCTTATTGTTCCTCCAGAAGTCAGGTGTCTTGGCATCCAGCACCCACTGCAGTCTACAGGGGCACTTCTTGAAGGTGATTTATTTCACTTTTCTATCAGTCTTGGGGTGGGACAGCTGTCACTTGGAGAGAACCTAGACAGTCCCTCTAAGGCCTCACCAACCCAGGAGCAAGCATCCTAACTCTGCTGATAATTGCTTTCTCATCTCATTTTAAAGAAATTCTCCTGAGGTCACAAATGTGTCATGTATAACCTGTAGAAATTAGGATTCTCCAGCCCAGAACCTTCCAGGACTCAAACACTCATTTAAAAAGCCTCTAGGCTTTTCATTTGGTGAGCAACCAGGGAAAAGAAGTGACTGAGGGTTTTTTTCCTTTTCTGGGGTGAGTAGATTCATTCTATCACCAGCACGATGAGTGGCACTGGTGAGAAATTTGTCATATTCATCTTTACCACACACTGGATAGGATGACCTGCCTCCTGGAGCTGCCAGTCTTTCTCCAGCCTGGAGTAAGTGTCCAGTTTTTACATAATGTCACATTCCGATGTGTCCTATTGTAAACAGAAACTTAGAGAAGTTTCAAGTGGAGAAGGGCTTTGCCAGATGACTGGGATTAGAAACTTTTCACAGCTAGAATTCAGGTGAGGAGTTAAAGAGTGAAAATGAGAGAGTGATTCCATGGCCTTATGGGAAATCTGTAAGCATCCCACCCATCCCACTCCAAACACTGCATGTGCTGAGGGCAGGCCCTGGTGGGGCAGATTTAATGGGGCTGAGATAAATTGATATTCAGCTGGCAGACATAGCATACTGACACCAAAGCCAGAGAAATCTCAGGAGAAGCTGGCCTGCTCTGCAAATTGCCCATAAAACTGAGATTCGTGTCCTGTGATGGCAGTACCTTGTGTTACATTGCTTAAAATGATTATAGCTATCAGTTCTGTGCTTTTATTTTTAGTTTCCCTCTTCTAAGCAATTTTTGTCCCAATTATCACTTAAGTCATGAAATAATTTTAGCTGCAGTTACTACATAATTTGAGCTAATGACATTTATTTTAACAGTGGTGATTTTCATCATTTCAGCTAATGAAAGCCACATTGTGTATGAACAATCACCACTTATTATATAAAGCCACATCTTCTTATGGTTAAAAAAGAAATCAAAATCAAAAGCATTTGCAAGTGAAGGTAGTGTGACTCAAAATCAAGTCCATAGTGTTTCAATGTATTAGGTGTTCTTAATTAAAGATGTGTTTTAAATGGAAACTGATATCTTTGTGCCCACTCTGTGCTGCTTACAGAGACTGCTGATGTTGTGTTTCAGCTGTTTATGAGTTACATTTTTCTTCCCTTTTATTACAGCTCTTTCTTTTACGCCTTCCTGAATCTGCTGATCAGCGCCTTTGTGGTGTTCATCACATTTATTGCCAGCACTATAGTGAGTGTAGGATTTAACATGTGGTGTGATGCAATTACTGAAAAAGGAAGCATGCCAAATAGGTTAGTATTGGAGAATACATTTTATTCCTTTTATTTTTTTCATATAGGCACAATTGAGCTGTGGTGTTACAAAGTGTAGTTATTACATGCAAGGTGAGCAAGGGGGAGAAGGCATGTGTAATATGAAAATCCAGAGTTTTTTTCATGTGGAACAAAACAAAGCAAATCAAATTTCTTTTTGTTTCTTTATTTAGAAGCCCACAAAGAAAAGTGTGTTTCCATCATATTTTGTGGTCATGATCACATGAAAAACAAATCCATTGTGTTAAATTTTTTTTATTTCCAAAGGAATGCTAGATTTAGAGTTTTTCTAAGAATGGGGGGAAGGTGGCCTTGTGAGCAGGGCAGGGGGCTGGGGGCCAGGGCTTCTGGCTTACAATCCTGGTTCTGCCCCCAAGCCACTGTGTGACTCCAAGCAAGTCACTTATCCTGCCTGTGCCACAACTCATCATCAGACAAAACATTTGGGGTAGAGTTCCTTGCCTTGTAGTGATGCTGTGGATGTCCTGAGTGCCACAGAATGGAAAGCAAAGTACAGATGGCTGATGCTTTGTTGCAGTCACAAAATGTACAGCTCCTAAAATGGTCCACTGTATCCCACAATGCTTATGCTCCTTATAGGAATCATGATAAATTGAGGAAGATTTGCTCCTGTCAAACAAATAATGATGAAGAGAGAGGAAAATGTGACATTTTATGTCATATGATACCGAATAAGTGTACTACTTAAAGCATACATTTGTGTTGCACATTGTCATATGTTGTAAAATGCCATAGTGAATGTTCTGTTTAGGGCTGCAAGGATTAATCGAATTACTCGAATATTCGGTTAAAAATTCAATTACAAAAAGCATCTAATCGAATATTCGGGTAAGAACCCAAGATGACCGACAGCACTGAAAAGGAGAGAGAAGAGGCTGCAGAAATCAACCAAGAGGTAGAATGACAACCTCAAAATCCTGGGATTTTTTTCACACCAGTAATGGTCCAAGTTATTTGTAAAATCTGTAGGCAGCCCCTATCTTACCATCAGAGTATCGTCTCCTTGCTGGAGCATCTGAAACAAAAACACAATTCCTTCTTCTGAGGCTTTTCCTGATGAAGTCAAAAGGTAACAGAGGATCATACACTTTGTTTCATTGAGGGGTGAAAAAACCAACCTGGGGTGATGCCAGGGGCAAATCTGTGGGAGGTGAGGGGGCAGTGGGAAGGAGGGGTTTAAGGATGCTGTGTTCATAACAAATAGTACAATTCCACTTTTGAAAGATTTGTGTTATCACTTACATGATTTTTTTGGATAAAATAAAGTAATTCTTATCTTAGTTTTAAAGAAGATCAGCAAACAACCTGATGATTGCAATAACTTAATTATCCTTTGATAGAATGTGCCATTGTGGCTGTTCAAAATACATTTCATATGTTGTTCATTTTATATTTGGTTTACCTAGAATCTGTTAAATTTTCTTCTTTTTTTTTTTTTTTTTTTTTTTTTTTTTTTTTTTTTTTTCTCCAATATTTTTTTTGGGGGTGGTAAAATTTTCCCTTCCAAATGCCTTTCTGGGTAGCTGTGAAGAATTGCAGGATATAGATCTTGAGCTGAACTTGGAAAACTCTGCTTTCTATGACCAATTTGCTATTGCACAGGTAGGTCAGACTAAGTCATGGTTCTATTCCAGTTAATTTGCCATTTGCTTATTGACCTGGGATTGCTGGAGTTGAACTACCATTCTCAGAAATCAATGGGAATGTTTCCATTGACTTCAGTAAGTGCTGAATCAGAATGATAGTGATGGGCACATTTACCTTTTAAATTCAAAACAGACAGTTTTGAATACAGATATGTCAAAGCTTAACCCTACCACTGATCTTGTTAATCATGACAGAAAACTCATTGTTCATCCAAAGGATCAGGTCTGCAAAAGTTGCACCACTCTGGTGTCCTGGATCTCTTCATTACTGTTCAAAATAATTTCTGACCTGCACCATGTTGTGGGGTTCCTAGTTTTACCTTCCTTGACTTTAACTGAGATCACCTAAGCTATATAAATATCAGACCATTGAAAAGAATCAAAGATTGATTCATTCAGATAGGGTTGTTTTCTGATGAATCCATGAGAATTAGACCTCTAAGGCTGTCAGACCTTTCTATTGAATATTCTAGCTCTAAGTCAATGATCAGTCAGTGAACACTGGGTCATGAGCACATACTAATTTTGCATCCCTGCAGGGCTGCACCCTTACAAAGGCTTATGTTGTCCCACATGGAAAGAGGCATTAGCCTGCCTGGAACATTCCTTGAAGGTAACCCTGCCTCTTAGGCATGAGCCAGTTTTTTGTCTTTGTTGCCAATGTTGGCATCTAGATGCCAAGCTCAGGCATAACTACATTTAGGAAAGAAATATGCCAAAAAAGTGACTCCTTTATATGAAGAACCCAGGACCACTCTGGATTTAGCTTGGCATGACTCCATGGGTTTTGGTCCATATGAGGTTTCCATAATCACCTGGACAGCTGACTTTGTTTTTACAATGCTGTACTGACCTCTTTATGATTTCTTTCCTTCTCCAGTTTGGTCTCTGGGCTGCCTGGCTGACTTGGCTGGCAATTACCATTTTGGCTTTCCTGAAGGTTTATCACAACTACAGACAGGAGGATCTGCTAGATAGCCTGATCCATGAGAAGGAGCTGTTGCTAGGAAGATCCCCTTCAAGATCCTCTTTGCAAGATGACAAAAGTGGCATGATCTAAAGCGTAAGCAAATTTCCAGGGCAGGATCTAGATTTTATTATTCAGTAATGTGAGCTGAAGCTGAGTCAGGGTATTGAGTGTGTGAGATCTTTTCTTTTCCTGAAATGCAATGTAATTGTGAATTACTCACTTCCCCCATGAGAAATTGTTGGCAGAAATACTGATATTAGGATAAAGAGGATGAACTGCCCTATGTGCCTATGGCACAGCAAACTTTCTGTCCTGTGCAGACAAAATTTGTAACCTGCCCTTGTCAGCAGAGCTCCCACGTGCCATCGCTGGCTTTTGGGACAGGGCCGTTTTTGAGGACTGAGCTGGCAAGACCAGGCTACAGCATCCAGGCTATTTCTTCAAACTATTCTTCAAAAACAGTTGTAGCTGGAGCTGCCTTCAGTCCCTCCTCTGTCCCTCTCCTCCCTTTTGCCAGTGAAGCTGCCCCTGCTCTGTCTTTGCCCTGGGAAGCTGCAGCTCTGGTTCGGGTGCAGGCTCTCGCTGTCTCTGCTTTCGCTGTGTGTGGATGCAGTGCTGACAAACATGTTGCTCCTGCTCTGATTTTATTTCCAACATAGAGACCTGTGTTCCAGACTTGATATTTAGTATTGGACAGTGTTAATGAATTCCATGAAACTCGTATATTATTATAGCACCTGTCAAAAACTGTGTTTAATATGGAAGATGACGGAGAACATTTGTGGATTTGTTTCTTCTTAGATTTTGGCATGAGCAGCATTTATTATGACTCCTGAAGTGAAGTGTAGCTAAAAATTGCTGAAGCTTGCATACTAAGAAATTAAGCTGAATAGGTAGTATTAATGCTTGTGCATTTATAAATGTAACTTGATCCCTAACATTGTATACTATTCTGTTTTGAATATTAGAATTTATTTGTGATATTTATTTCATATAGAATATGCAAAATTACTGTAAGCATTTGCATTGTAGGTTTCTATATATAAACACAGCAAGGAGTTCAAACAGCTGAGTTATTTTTTTGGTAGTTCAGTGCTGAATGGGTCCATTCTCCCCACTCATGGGCAGGAGTTCCAGGGCAGACGAATTTTGCTGTGAAAAGGAAGAAGAATTGCTATTTACACAAAGCTCACTGGTGACTGTGTTGTTGCTTTCAGTTTTGCTTGGCCAGTGCTTCAACAAATCAGGTGGATTGTTGAGATCAAAGGTAGCTCTGATAATTAAGAAGAGTCACTCAGAGTGGGATTTGCATGGCAGAGAAGTAAAGCTGTGCTAGGATTCAGCATTTATCCCCAGGTACACATTGCATGGAAGACCCCAAATCAGCAGAAAACTTAAGCAAACAACTAAGTTTGGACTGAAAATTTTTTTTGAGAGTATGCTGACACTGCCTGTGGTACCTGTGTTTGAGCTGAGACTGAATTTATTGTAACAGAAGTGCAAACCACACACGATTATATGACCTGGTAAATCAGAATGAAGGGAGAGAGGACAGCAGGCTTCTACCACATCAGAGCCCAAGCCTGGGGTTAGCACAACCATGCAGATTTACTGTTGTCTTCTAGGGACTCTCTGATGCTTAGTTAAGTACCAGCTTAAGCATTTCCTTGAAACAGAATTTGATGTCATGATAAATCTCTCAACTATTAAGCATTTTAGGGTATAAAATCTGACATAGTATTTAACTGCCAAAATGTTTTCATAGGCTCCTCCATGGGCCTTAAGCAGTTAGCCAGCCCTGTGAACATTGCTCAGAGCCCCAGCTGGCCACAGCTCTCTGTAGAGAGGTCTTGTTCTTCAGCATGATTTCTGCCCACAAGAGAATGCAATTCCTTTGAAAGCTTTGCAGCAGTGGCTTTTTCTGTAGTTGGGAGCTGACATCAGAGGAGGACTCCTGGAGAGGGAATCAGAGATCAAGTTAATTAATGTCAATTTAAAATTCAGATATCAGGACTGTCAGAGTGCCTTTTTAAAATTCATTTGGTGTAATAGTTTGGATATTAAGAAAAGTCTCTTCACTGAAAGGTTTGTCAAGCACTGGAACAGGCTGCCCAGGGAAGTGGTGGAGTCACCATCCCTGGACATATTTAAAAGAAAGGCAGATGTGGCACTGAGGGACATGGTTTAGTGGTGGCCTTTGCAGTGCCAGGTTAATGGTTTGACTGGATGATCCTAGAGGTCTTTTTCAACCTAAATTACTCTGTCTCTAGTAGGAGATAACACTTTGGCAAGTACCTGAGTCCATTGCCAGGGAATGACCTTCTTCATACCCTGAAGAAAAGCCTGGGTCTTGTAAGTTAGCCTGTTTTCCCATTTTCCCCAGTTTCTCCAGCTGTAAAAGGCAGTCTCACTTTCACTCAGCAGTGATATCTCTTCCCACAAATTACTTCAGTGCATGCCTTACTCCTTGTGTGGAACCATGATGCTGCTTTGTATAATATATTTTATGTATATGCCAAATCAAGCTTAGGCTGCAGTGACATGTGGATGGGGACCACTCTTCCTGGTGTTGCCTGAGGGTTTGAAGAACCATGAGACAGAAGATAACAAATGTCTTCTTGTGGTTCTTGCTCTGAGGTACCAGGGCCCAGGCCTTGTCTCTGCTTCTGAAAGAGAGGATGCTGCTTGTGGGTGAGGCTGTCTGGAGCTCATGCTTTCTTCTACCTCTCCTGTCTCAAGGTCTTTTTCCTCCTTCCCACTTCCATGAGAAGCAGCAAACACTGGTCCTGGGTTTGGAGTTGCCATGCAAAATGAAAAGAGGCTGAAGCTCTTCTATGAATCCCATGTGAATGGGACTGTTTTTCACAGCTTCCCTGCCTTGACCAGGTGGGGTGAGGCTGGTACCTCCTTGCACTCATCAGTGATGCTTAAAAGCAAAGCTGCTTTTGATGGAAGCCCCTGTGTGAGTCAGAAGGCAGAGCAGGTAGTGAGAATCTCTCTGGCTGACCCAAGGAGAGGAAGGGTATCCTGCATCTCCCAGTTTTTGGATACACTTGGTATTTTTTATTTGCACTAAGTTTTCTGCAACCTCTTCTCCTAAAGCTTAGGCACTCAGGCCAGGCTGGTGATGCCGAGCTGGAAATGTGCTAGAATTGTGGTATAATTTATGCACATACATACCTACCTGTGCTCTCTCTCATGCACTTCTCTCTTTTGTACATTTCTGATGTCTGATTTTAGTCACCCATTGCCAACCAGCACATCGTGGGGCTGAGTCAAATTTTGCATTTCTCTGACATTTCAATACCTTTAATTTGCCATGTTCAAAGGCAGGGAACACTCTAACAAGAGCTGTATACAAAGAACTAGAACACTGTATGGTACTTGTACTAGTATTTATTTATTTATTGTCACATGGTACAAGGGGAAAAAGCTTTGTGGCCTTTCAAAGGCACTGGGCTGATGCCACACTATTATTCTGTTGTACCAAATATATTCTCTGGCTACCATCTGTGGTTCAATTTCCCACCAATACCCTGCCAGCAGTCCTCGTTGGGCTAGAAGAATCTAAGCTAACAAGTGTCATCTGAGCTTTTAGATCAATGCTGTTTCTTGCTATTTTTTATAATGGAGAAACAATTGGAGCCATCTTTTGGAACAGAACTTCCTCATGAGTGCATTCATGCACAGAACATCTTATACCACTAACTCATGAGGCATCTTTCAGTTGGGAAATTTCAGTGGGAATCACAAAAATAAGAGCATGGTGATTTACTGTAAAAACTGAAGGATACGTTTGTACTATAGCAGCGATTCTACGCTCCCTTAAAAAAGGAGGTACAATATCCAGTGATATTGTTACAAGCACAGACCTTGTAATGAAAGCATTCTCTGTGTATGTACAATGCACACAGATAAATGCCAATTCCACTGCTCTTCTGTGATGTGGATATAGGCTCTTCTCTAAACAAGCAGCTTTGGTTGGTGTGGCTGTTAGAATGCCTTAAATTTCTACACTTCCTTTTACTCAGCGCTGGGACTCGTGCAGTGACAATGGTTCTGGTACCCAGAGGTGGAATTGATGTGGGCAGAGTGGGAAAGCACTGGCCAATGCATAACCTCCCAAAGGCTGAGATGAGTTTCTAATGCAGGTTTGCAGGTGTTTCAATTCCTCCCCTTTATATGAGTAACGTCCTGCTGCTAGCCTAAATTAGTCCAGTTAGGAACAGAGTCAGATTTCCCTTCAAGGCCTTCCCTCCCCAGTATGGAACACTGCTGATTTAACCTATGCAGTGTTCAGGATGCAGGGAAGAGGAGCTCACACTTCACAGTCACGTTGCACACAAACCTGGTATTGGATGTATGTGGGATTTGTCATCTCCCTTTTTCAAAGCCTTCTCTAACATACTGCATGTAAAATCACTTTCACCATTTAAATTATAACTTTAGCAAAAATCCAGACATAATTTTTACTGGAAAGACTGACAGTATTTTGTGAAAAACCAACTGACAGTATTTTGTGAAAAACCAATCTGGATTATGACAAAACATTTGGGCTTTTTTCTGTACCAATGACCTGAGTATCCTTGAGTGAATGAGCATCCTGACTGTGTCCAGATCCTAAATCTGTGCCTCAGACCATTTCCTTTGCTGATGGAAAGAGCCCATTTTTATCTCTTGGAATGTTTGCTTTGGAGACTACAAATATCCTTTCCTTCTGGTTAGGCAATCTGGGAAAAGAGGAAGGCTTTACCTGCAGTCACAAAATGCTAATGTAATTCTGTAAGCACAGAAATTGTTTTAAAACTATTTCTGTTCATGGCACTAGTGCCTTGAAGTACATGTTTCTATATTTGTCCTCCGTAAAAAGGAGGAAAACTATCCTGAGTTGTATTTTAGTACTCACATATATGCATCTAAAGTTGTTTTTTTTTTTTTTAATGGATGTTTTTTAAAATGACAAAATTCAACTCTGTGATTTATGAAGTTAAGAACTGCATATAAAACAGCACTTTCATGCTCTCCTGATATAGAAGAGAACCGCACTCTCTCAGAAAAAAAATATCATTTGTTTCTGAACAAACAGAAGGTTTGAGCAGAATTTACTTAGGGTATAGCAAGTACTGCTTTATTTCAGTGCAGGCACTTTATGAATAATGTTTTTCCATCCTGTTGTTGGGAAGAGTATTAGCATAGCCATGCTTTCTCTTTAGTTTTTTTTTTGTCCATGCCAAAGAGTGTAATTGAACTGCTGTTGCAAACATAGATGAATGTGAATGTATTCACACGAGTGCTTAAAGATCTCTACCTCTCACAGCTGCTATAACTGCTTGAACTGTTATTACACACAATAGAGAAAAAAACCTGAATCCATGTGAGAGGCTAAATCCTATTTCCATAGACAGCTAAAGGATTTAATGCTTATTAGCTTGCTGTCAAATCCTCATTGCTAAAAAACAGGCATAAGTACCCAAGAAGTGCTGTGTGAATAGCACTTTGCATTGATCAAATAATGATATAATTTTGGTTTGGGATTTTTTAATTTATTTTTGCCTCACCAAAATAAAAAGACAAGAACAGCAATTTGTTAGACATGAAAGGTTATCCTTGATCCCCCTTGAATCCTCCTGCTGCAGCTATTCTACTTGGCTTGAAATTCCTAAATAACAATTATTTAGCGTGCTGGCTCTGGTGTTTATCAAGGAGATAAACAACTTGGAAGCAAGAGCTGCTCACTGAAATAGCTGGAATTTCTTGTATGTGGTGGAAACCCAATGTGAGAAGGTTTTGTTCCCCCTTGCCACTCGACTGTGTTGTAAAGTGAGGGCTGAGCCAACCTGCCAAGAAGTGAGAATGATGATTTGTAAGTACTTTGGTATCTTGGATGGTTTCTCACACAAGTGAGTAAACTATCCTGAGACTAAACTACTCTTCATCTCCTCCTTATTTTCTCCTTGTTTCCCCCTAGATTTGGGCAAATTTGACTCCACTGTGGATACAGACTCTGAAGTATATTTATGAATGTGAGAAAAATTGCAATCTCTATGGAAAATTTTGTCCAAAAATTAAGAAAAGCAGTCAAGGATTTTCCCTGTTCTCATTCAGCCTCTCTGGATCATGCCACTGAACCCTTCCCTTTACATAAGCCAGGCCTGATTTGGGTGATGTGTTGCTCTGGGAAGTTTCCAAGGCTGGTGCCAGCAGTCTCTCCAGGAACCTGGTGGAATTAAATGAGTGCTATGTTAAACCATAAAAAACTGTTTGAAAACTGTCATGGTATTCCACATTACACAGTCCAGAACTCTTCACCCCATCTCTCCTGCAGCAGAGAGAATTATTTCTCCCAATTAACACTGTGAAGTCCAACAGTCTGTGTCTGAAACACAGCACAACTTCCTGGAACACAGGATCTGGGTTGCATCGGTGAATCCATTCCACTTTCTAGGCTGCTGCAACACTTTTAACCATGGTTGTTGAAACAGGGTCCAGCATTTGACTTCATAAACTGCTGGCAGCCTCCTTATTAAACCACATTCTTTGAGAGCAGCAGGCAGTCCCTTTGCTCAGTGGTGCTGAGAAGCTCTGTACTCAACAGAATCCTGCTGTGGGGGGATCACTCCACTGGGGTCCAAGCCAATGCAGGCTGCTGGTATCAGAGCAATTCTGGTCAAACACATTCTAATTAAAACAGCCCAAGCTACACAACTGAGGAATCAATATATTGTGATCTGAAGTACACCCCAGAGAGGTTTTTGAATGCTTATAACCAAAACAAGAATAGCAAAACACCCCAACAGTTCCATGGAAGTTCCCTCCTTCTGCATCCTACAATCTTCAAAAACATTCCTGCAAATTTCAGAGAGGATTTTATTGCTATCAAGCTGATTGGGTCTTATTTCTCACATCTCTTCCTGACAGAGACAAGGACAGCTGAGGTGTCAGGACAGTGGCTTCAGTCTGAACAGAAATAGGTAATGAGGAGTCAGTGCATTTCCCATGAGGGATTTCAGCTTTTGGGCTGTGACATAAAGGAATGGTATTGACACTGATTTCAGCCTCTACTTGGCCCGCTCAGCCCTACCTGCTCATGTGGCCTCACAAATTGCAGAGCATCTTCTTGAAGCATGTGCTGATCTAAAGTCAGCTTCTGGAGAGAGCCACCTGTGCCAGCTGTGCAGGTATCTGGTGTAAAGATGCTGACATTGCCACCAGATTTGGAGGAAAGCAGATCCAGATACCCTACCCTGGCCCTTGGTCCAGTGCAGCTCTTGACTAGCCCAGGGAAGGAAAGACTGTTCCCAAATCTCTGTAGAGTTGGCATTTGTAAGGGTAGCTCATTTGCACCCATAGTTTTAAAAGGTTTAGTGGTTTTGTGTGGTACCACCTGCAAAGGTCTGAAGCAGATCTTTCTCACTTGTAAGTCAGCGCAGAGCCTGAAAGCATTTCAGCCTCTCTGAAATATGTGTCCTCTGATGTATGAATTCATGAGCTGCTGTCTCTTACAGCCATCTGGGAAAAGCTTTATAAGAGTCTAGATTATCTATTTATTTTTTTTAATGCTGCTTAAGAGGTTCCTACAGTGGGTATTTGGGGAGAAAACAGAACACTTTTCATAATTTGTTTAACCACTGAAAGCAGTTGAAGAGCAGATCCCTCACCAGTGTACACAGATTATCCTGTGAGCAGCCACACCAGTCCACACAAGCTAAGGATAGAGCCTGGCCTGTTTTGAATATTATCTCTGTTTATTTGTATGGTCTTTTGCAGGGTAATGACTGCTTCAATTGCATGTGTTTGACAAAAACAGAAAGGGAGTGAGATTTATTATTGTTTTGATACAGTCTCAAAAGGGAAGCTTTTTACTAGCATTTTAATACAGCCCTTTGTAAACACCCAGCAAAGAAAAATGCTGAATCCAGTCCTTCTGCTAGTGCAGTCACTGAGTTTCCTCTGGCTTTAGTAGGAGCTGGACTGGGTTCAGTGTATGTGGTACTCTCCAGCATTACTGATAATGAGTTTATGTGTTTTATATATTGATGCTTTTTGCTGAACAGTGCATCGGCTTTTTATGATTTGGTGAGATATAAAAATAAATTATTTGAAAAGTCAGTGTTTCTGTGCCGGTTCTTTGAAGGTGAGTTTAAATTGTTGCAATATAAGGTAAAAAATAAATGTTCTCAAACTCAGTGGTAGAGTCTTTGTAGCCATTCCCCAGCCTCTCCATGCCACAACTTGTACAGTTAAGGTTATGCCCAACCATCCTCAGCTGCCTGAGCCCTTTTGGTATCCTTGTCCAGCAGTTCACCCTAATGCCATTGGAGACAAGGAGAAAATGGTCCTGTGTCAACACGCAGCTGGTTTCTTACCAAATGTAAGGGGAGACCACAGGCTGCATGGACAGGCCATTTTTCTAAATGCCAGCTAGTTAATTTCCTTCACGTAGCATCAGTCTTTCTCTTCAGGAGTGGGCATAAAGGTTCCCAACAGATATCTTGCAGCAAAGAATTAATAAGAAACAAGTCTGCACTATTATCTACTAGGTTCCTGAGCTATTCCTTGGGGGCAGTTGGTAACACCCTTTTATAGTCACAAGCTGCCAGCTCTTCTGCTTGCTTCTAAGTGGCAAAAGGCAGAAATGACAATTGCAATTGCTGCTATGGGCTCATTCCCAGACCATCAGTGTTGGAGAGATGAAATGAAGGAAGGGGACTCGAGGCAGGCTTTGGGACTGCCTTTCACTGGTGCTAATGCTGAGTGCATCAAAAGGTTAATGCAAAACCATCCCGTGTCATGTCTCTGTGTCTTTTTCTATCTCCTCTAATCACGGGTATGGATACAGCTGCTGCTGCAATCAGGTGCTGTCGATGTGCCTGAAGAGGGTGCTGGCAGCTGCCCTCCATCCGTTCACACTGCAGGAATGTGCTGAACGCTGTCAAAACAACACTTACCCTTCTGTTGTGGTCTGCTTATTTCGGCTGTGTGTTAGTTACATACTCACTGCAGTGGGGAATTTAAGCAGCACTTCTACCCTTAGGGATTGCCATCAGTCCATTGTCATGCCCCTGCTGCTCTCCCCTGGCCCTTTGCCTCCTGCCGCCCCAGCCACTGCTCCTGGGAATGCCTCCTACCACTGTCTGCTTCAAAAACTGCACCTCGGGTCCTGTCCTACATCACTCCCTCTTTCAGCCCTTTATATCTAAAACACAGCCATTTCCAAGCTTCATTATACAATTGCCCAGAGCTGGTTGGCTGCAGCACTTTTGATTTCTGAAGTAATTCACCAGACTGGCTCCAGTGTGAATTCAGGTGAGCATCTCCACTTTTTGCAATAAATTATGTACTCTCTCTCCTTTTTACCTCTATTGGGAAATTCTCAGGAGTTGTACTGAAGGTAAATATTGCCCAGCATGGCCAAAAAAGGGATTATTACCCAACACAGATAATTTTATTTGACTTTAGAGGTCCAAACTCATAAAGGTGTCACACCCAGAAAAAGCACCATTGAACAAGAATAAGGAGAAATCACATTCAGCTCATAGTGATGAGGATAAAGCTGTGATGGCTAAAGAATGAAGGGGCAGAGGGGGAAAAAGGGTTGTGTGTGTTTAAGCAGTATGGATGAATGGAAAAAGAGCTTCAGTGTGAGAAGGAAATAAAAGAGGTAAGTCCACACTGAAGTTGTGCAGCAGTAAAGAAATGCAGGCCCAGGAGCTGGAGTTTTGTCTCCTATTCCTAGTCATGTTATTGACCCACTTCATTCACTCCCACGTGCAATGACTTTCTTAGCTTCAGTTTCTTCACCTACAAGATGCCACCACTCTGCCAGAAAAAGGTTTTAGCCTTCATTTATTTCAAACCTTCTGGCTTGGAGGCAATTTTAATTTGGCTTTCTGCTGCCTGCCAAGTATCTGACTGACCACAGTAAACAATCCTGACCCAGGAGACCTTGTAAAGCCATGATGAGACCTCCACAGTGGTCTCAAGATAATTCAAGTGCTGCCTTTTCCCATGCCCAAAACAGTCCCAAACAGAGGCAACACAAAAGCCAAAAATAGCTGTTCCTCTGCTAAATATCCCTGACAGCCCAGATGTGATAGCAGTTCTCACTCACACTAATAAATTGTGCCCCAACAAGAGGAATGTGGACATTTTCCTTTTATAGCAGGCTCAGTGTAAAGGTGGTCCTCTGTCCATCCCCTGGGGAGCTGTGCAGGAACATGAGCACATATGTGGTCTTCACACCACCTCCACATTTTCCCTCACAGTCCTAGGAGGAGTCAGCCCAGAGCCAAAAAGAAACACCACTGATTTGCCAAAGAGTTTCAACCTGGACATTAAAAAGGTCACAAACATTAAAAAAATGCAAACAGAAGTCGAAATCACCCCCCTGCCCCATGCAGGTACCAATCTAAACCTCCCCAGAGATTCACCAGCACACAGGTTTAAAACCTTTCTTCTTTATTACCTAAACAGCAGGGCTGAGACAGGGTACAAGGGAGGGAATCAGAGGTGGGACTCACCCTTTGAGCTGGGGTACTGAGTGATCTGCACACAGCCCCCTGAGCCAAACCCTGCTCCTGCAGCACCCTCTGCTTCCCAGAGCACCCTCTGCTGAATGAAAGGAAACGTGTCCAATGCCTGCCTGTGGCTTTGACAGCTTAGGAGAGGCATGAGAGGAGCCACTGAAGGCATTTCTTTATGTCTTGGGCTGCAATTATTCTGACTTGTTCTCAATCAAGCTGCTGGCTCCTCTTCTTCTGAGAGGAGATTGCACGTTGTGTTCCTGTTTTTCCTCTCCTGGTTAAAGTTCTTGGGCTGCTTGGGAGAAGGTTGCTGGGGCAGATGTATGGCCCTCTTTTAAAAAAATAACTAGAAATAAAGAACCATTTTTTCTTTTTGATGGTTGCAATGGCAGGGGGAATATAAGCCAAGGTCTTGCAGACATCTCTTTATCTTCTCTGCAGTGTTCCCCCCCCCCC